TAGTTCCACGGTTATAAACATGTTGCTGTGCCTATTGTTAGTGTAAAAGAAAAGGTGATTCAAATAGAGAGATGGACGGGTGGTTTTTGTAGTTACAGATGTGACTGTTGGACAATAACAAGAAAAACAACGACAAAGCTTTTATTAGAAACTTTTGGGTTGGCTACATGAATCATATTCTTCCATTCAAGTCTGTGGAGTGTTATTTGTCTGCTAATTTAGTAAATGCAATATACGAAAAGATCATAAATTATTGTTTGAGGAATATTAAAGGGTTTTAGGACCCTGCATTGAATTTTGATCAAAATAATTGATATTTGATTTAGATGTTTTCTTGGTGTTTCACGTCTCCATTGTATTTGTGGGTCTTTCTCTCCTTTCTTTCTTCTTATTTAGAAAATTTCGCATACAGGCAAACCAGCACCTAATTGACAAGCTTGGTTTGGTTTGAAGTTGATTGAGTTCGATTTTGATTTGATTTCAGAAGATATTTAATTCAGTTTTGATTTTTAAAAAACATTGTAAAGACAAAAACAAATTGACCAAATAATCAACTTTAGTCCCTCTACGTTAGTTCTTTATCATTATTTTGATTTATCTGCGTGTCATATATTATACTTTCATTGTGCTAACTCTGAATCCTCCATATTCAGAAGTTTCTCTCAGCCTTTCTACTTTGAATATTTTTATCTCTTATTTAACCTCATCAACTAATTTTACATCAGCAACAAACAACATGCATCAAAAGACTTTTTTATGAATATGTCCAGTTAGTTTATTTGTAAGTAATGTAAAGAGATAATGACTTAATGACATCTTTTGTGTAAGCCTATAGCGACAAGGAATGACCAATGTTTTAAATATCGGTTATCGGGGATTTATCGGACGGTCGAAATCCATATCGGATAGCAGATATCGGGGATATACCGGGGATAAGTAGTGTTTATCAGAGTGACATTACAGGATGGTAATATACATAAATATAATATTCTAAAATATAATCTAACCATACTTAATGAAATATAAAAATACAAAACATAAATATTTATGTTTAGAATTACTAACCAATGGTAGAAACTCGGGTCGGGTCGGGTTTAAAGTGCATTGAATAGGTGTCCGTTACCCGAAATCAAAATTCAAACCAAAGGCCAGTAATTCGAATTTTTAGGCCAACAATATTGACCGATAACTCACTTTATCACCGCATTATCGGCAATAAACATCCAAAAAAATAACTGATTTAGAACCGAACTTATCATAGCTGAAGACCCCCAAAACCGATAAATCACCGATAATATCGGTTTATTGGCCGATATTTAAAACACTGGGAATGACTTATCACCTGTGGTTGTCTTTACCCTATCTATTGGTTGATCATACAGACCTTTTATCTTTGATTAAATCAATATAGCCATCAGAAAATTGTTTTTCTCCTACCTCCACATTTTCTCAATGGATTTTATCATTTCTAAATTAGTGCACATTATATTTAGGGGGCAATCAGTTCATAGTTCACTTTTATCAGGAGGACAAAGGCTCCTAGAAATCGCAGATGAAATGATGACATGGAAAGGATTATTTAATTCACGAACCTACATTTGGCCTATTTCTTATGTTTGCCAATTGCTTGAAGTGCAGTGTAATTTGGAATCTAGAGAGAGGGAGGATTAAAGGAGAAAAGTGAATAAAGATTCCCTATTCTTTGTTCCTACTTCCTACCAGTGGAAAGGACACTCAAGTCGGAAATCAGACTTACTATGTTGATGAAATTGGCCAACCATATGGAATAGGATACTGATCCTGCTTTCCTCGGACCTATACGCCAAACAGAATTATTTGATGTTCCCATGCAATTTCATTCCCTTCTGTATATCTGAATTTCCAAATAGGTCTTTATAAGGATGCTCTAATTTATTGGGTATATGACTTATTGTGGTGTTACCCATTTGATTCCACTTTTATCTATAGAGAAAATGATGATGCGTGCTCTCTGTTAGAATTAGAAACATAGGAGCACAACACTTAATTCGTTGGTCGATAAAAACTTGTTCATGTGAACCAAATCAGTTACCTGGTTTATTTGTCACTCTTATTTTAAGAGTATCTTCATGATTTCTCTCCATTTATTCATCTTCTAATTATGTATCTTAGGATCGAAGTTGGAATCATTTGAAAGTTTTCCGAAAGTCCTAGTTAAATTTTTTTTTTCAAGAATATTTAGGCGAATGGATCAGAAGATCTATGTAGAATGAAGGTAATGGAGAGGAAAGAAATGATTCATTTCTGTATTAAGTTTTTCTGATACGTTCTTCTTTTTTATCGTCAATGGAAAGTAGTCCCGCTAAGGCAGTCCATGGTTTTGACCACATCAGTGAATCCTAGATGGATCAACGATTTGATCATTGCGCTTCCACATTTGTAGACTGGAATGCATGCTAACATTTCAATGTTTAGCTTTCATTAAGATAATGTTTTTTTCCATTATTACTGTCCACCAATATTTTTTCTTTTACGTAGCTTTAAGATTAAACTAAAATCAAAAGAATTATAGTTTGTTAGTTCTATTTATACATTTTTAAGATGCAGAATGTTCATGGAATAAACGGTATAAGGTATAATGTTCAAGATAATATAAATAACATGCTTTTGGGAGATAATTGTTCGGAGACTAAATTTACCCGCTTGCATTCTTGTGCAAGTATTATTAACATATCTTCCTCGAAGTACCATTCACATATTGTGCAAATTGGCAAACTTGTCATCTATCTAAAATTGATTGCCATATGCAGTCCTTTTTATAATTTATGAGTGAAAATTTTGGGGCTCATTAGTTATGAAATCTTATGAAGTGCGAACTTTTCATAACAGAACTTTAGTAAATATGGCTGTTTAGTTTGTTGTAACTAATTGTGGATTCAATTGTAGTTCTAACTGCCGTGAAAGATATCCTTTTGAACTGGAATCAACCCTCAGAAAATGTGTCCAGTTCCAATTTCCCACATAGAGGTTGCATGTTGTTACATGACCTGAAATAGTGCAATATTTTTTGTTAAATGAATTAGCACAGTTTGAGACACCAAAACAATGAACCAACAAAAAAAGAATTTTAGTGGAATCGAGCAACTACAAGTAGCTAAGTAGGATTAATTGACTTCGGTAGTTCCATAATTCTCAACTGTATGTATGATACCATGAGTACCAGCATTTCCAATTGCGAGTAAAATGTATGGATCCTTAGATTTTACATATGGACAATTTGACGTAGGTTTTCTTCTGTTTGATTTTCGTCTTCATATGTTATGCTAACATCCAGGGAACAAAAAGGCTTATTCTAATATCAACTTCTTGCGATAATCTTCTTTTCTCTAAGACCTATTTCTTTGCATATTTGTACATGAAATCATTTTTTAACGAAATCATGTTTACTATCTCAGCTCACTGCGGATGTACCCATACCAAAGTGATGTGACCCCACTTTAGTCAAGGAGTAATAAGTACATAGAACTATGGCTTTATTGCACTTAACACCTTTTAATTTCACCTACTCTGCACATCTATACTCTCATTTGTATATGGTTGCACTTAAATGCTCTAAAGTTTTTAAAAATTGCACTTTAGTGTCCATAGTTAATCAAACATGAGAGTTTCCCCCGAAAATTCTCATGTGATGCTCACATTCTAAATTTAGAATATTTTAACCCTTATTTTTTTATTAAATCTATTGCTAAACCTATCAAAGTCCTGTTTTAATTATACATTAATTCTATTTCAAAATAGAATTTTGATAGGTTATACAACAAATTTAACAAATATTAAGAGTTAAAATATTCTAAAATGAGTATGTGAGTGTCTCATGAGAATTTTTGGGGTGAAACTCTCACATTTGCATGACTGAGTGTATTAAAGTGCAACTTTTAGAAACTTTAAGTATTTAAGAGCAACCAAATACAACTGGGGATGTATATATGTGCAAAGTAAGTGAAGGTACAGGGTATTTAAGTGCAGTTAAGCCTAGAACTATTTTGTGTATTTTGTTTTGAAGATGACACTGATTTTATATGTGGCTAAAAGTAACTGTCAAAAGTAGGGGTGGAAATGAACCAAATAATCAACAAATAGTTCGATAATTGTTCAATTAATTATTCGGTCATATTCGATTCGATAGTTCATTTACTACTAAACAAATATTTTTTAATATTCGAGTTTACTAACAAATAGAATTTAACCAGATGTATATTTGATTCGTTTGTATATTAAATATTCGTTTGAATTTTGATTACAACTTATTATTTGTATTATTACACATATGATGTCATATTTTTAACCCACTTACCATTTCTACTTAAGTTTTATATACTGATTTTAAAACTTAAATAATCTTAAATCTGTTTTCTAATTAAATTTTTAATTTAAATATATATACATCATATATTATAAAGGAATAATTTTTATTTATGAATTCTAATACTATTTGAAAATCAAATTCTTTAGCAGAATAAATATACTTTGATATTCGATAAGTATTCATGAATATTCATGAATATTTATCAAATACCAAGTATTCGAGTTCGAATTCGAAAAACTAGATATATGAATATTAAAGTCCACATTCGAATTCAATAATTTTAAACAAATACAAATACGAACATCTTAGTATTCGATTCGATTCGATCGTTTACCACCCCTAGTCAAAAGAGTTTTTTATGCAATGAAGTTAATTAAGAGCAAGTTGCGAAATAACTGAGTGATGATTGGCTCAAAAATTGCTCATTGACGTTATATATTGAGAAATATGTATCTGAATGTGTTACTAACGATGCGATTAGGTATTTTTTATTTCCAAATATGAAAACTCGTGGGGCATAATTATAAAACTTTTTAATTATTAATTATATAGTGACACCATGTTCTCAAAATCCTGGATCTTTTCACTGTCCCAGCTCTATTGTTCTTGCAGACATTGTGACTAAAAAACTGAGATATAAATTAACTTCTTGCAGGTATTCGCCGAACATTAAGGAGATCAAAGTCGTCAAACATAGAAAAGTGCGTAGGGCAAGGCTCTACTACTTGAGGGACAAACTGCCTCGCCTTTCAACATTCAAATAACCTTGTGTGTTATAGTCCAACTCAATATTTTTTCTTTTGCTCAGTGTATCAGTTGAGAGTTGTAATTCTTCACATTATCAGTTCTGGTTCCCTTTCAATTTTTGTTTCACAAAAATGCTTATGTGGTAGTATGATGATGCATTTTTGAATATTCAGAAAGTGTTGTTTACTCTTGTGAGTGATCGTGGTGCAAGGCATTGATTTCTATGTTGGATTTAAATCTAATTAAATCTATTTGTGGGCACATATGATTAATCTGTGTGTATTGCTATTCTTCAGGATAACCCACTAAAGTGATCAATCAATTTGGGTTAATGGGTATTTAAATATAATCATGGGGTTATATGTGTAGATACCAGGTTGTAATTGTAATTTGATGAGTGGCCAAATTACAAATGTACAACACCTATAAATAAGGGGTTATGATCCCTAATCTAGGGTTATATTCTCTAATTCTCTTCATCCTCATCTAGAGAGAAATTTGGCTAGAGATACCCTAAGGTTAGAAGATCATCAAAACCCTAATCAGGTTTTCTTCAATGGATTTAGGTATATGCTTTCGCATTCTTTTGATTCTTATTAATCTCTTTGAATTAATCATGGCTTTAAGGTTTAGATCTCAAGTTTTTATTAGATCTTAACAAGTGGTATCAGAGCCACCTTGATTTGTTCTAAGAGATTAAGATTAAAATTAGGATTCCTTGATCTTAATTTGTATTATTCAGATTTGTTCACGGTTGAACAATAATTTTTTATTTTTTGGATGAACAGTAAAAAATCATTGTGAACAGTAAAGGTTTTTAGTTTTTTGGGCTTTTTCTTCGATTTTTTTTTGGGATCTGGATCAAGAAATCATTCTTTGTTTTTTTCGATTCTGTATCTGGTTTTGAAAATAAAATCGAGGAATTTTTGGATTTTTTTTTGGGTTTGGTCTTCGGTCCCATGCTCCTCGCCGGCGAAGTTTCGCTGGCGGCCTCGCTCTCGACTCCGACGGCGACGGCGGCGTGAGGAAACCCTAGAGTTTCGACCTTGGGTGCAGGAGCAATGGCGGCGGCGGTTTCAGATTGAAACCCTTAGGGTTCGTGCGTGAAAACGTGGCGAAAATTAAGGAGGTGGTTACCTCAATTTTTTGGTGAGGCTTGAAAGCTTCAAACGAACTTCGCGTTCGTTCTAAGGTGAGCCTCGCGCTCAATTTAAGTCGAACCTCGCGTTCGTTCTCAGGCGAGCCTCGCGCTCGATTCAAACGAACCTCGCGTTCGTTCTCAAGTTGAACCCTGCGTTCGTTTTCAGTCGAACTTCGCGTTCGTTTTCAGTTGAACTTCGCGTTCATTTTTCAAACGAACCTCGCATTCGTTCTCAAGTTGAACATCACGTTCATTTTTCAAACGAACCTCGCGTTCGTTCTCAAATTGAACATCATGCTCATTTTTTTTTCAAACGAACCTCGCGTTCGTTCTCAAATTGAACATCACGTTCATTTTTTTTTAAACGAACCTCGCGTTCGTTTTCAAGTTGAACATCACGTTCATTTTCAGACGAACCTTGCATTCATGCTTAGGTGAGTCTCGTACTCAATACAGACGAACCTCGCGTTCGAAGTTAAGCGAACTTCGTGTTCACTATGGTTAAGCCTCGGCTTCTCATATTAAATTATGGGTCCACTTTGGTATACTTAATTTATTCAATTAAGTTATGGGCCCTATTTAAGCTATGGAAATTTAATTTAATTTAAATTTAATTTTGGCAGTTAATCAATTATTTAATTTAAATATTATAATACTAAGGTATTAAGGTTGTCTCTCACTCTAATTGTTTAATTGAAACAAGAAGTTACCAAAGTAACCTCTCTTGTGTAGATTGTTCATGAGGAATGTGAGATGTTTGTGTGTATACTTTCGTGTAAATATTTAATGGGCCCAAAGGAAGGTTAATATTTATTTAGACTGCATACACATCTGCGATGATAAACGTGTGACAATTATAAGGTTTACATGTGAATAATGAATCGATCCAAAGATAGTTTTATTATTTGATATGAGTTATTTTTAATGTTTGATCATTGCAACAAGGTATCACTTACAATTAATATTACTGTCCAAAGACTTGATATTAATGTTGTGCCAGATATCTTGGATGAGATTTGTTATTATTTGAATTTTATTGATTACTAATTATGGTTATTGATGTGAGCATTTTTTGTTTTATTTTAGCTAATGCATCTGCTGCAACAATTTCTGCTAACATCAACTCAATTCCCATGCTAAATGGGACAAACTTCAAGGTTTGAAAAGAGAACATATTAATTGTTCTTGGCTGCATAGATCTAGACCTTGCATTAAGAATTGAACAACCCCAACCTCTCAATGCGGATAGCACTCCTAATGCAAAGAAGAAGTATGAGAAGTGGGAGCGTTCAAATTGCATGAGTCTTATGATCATTAAGCGCGGCGTTCCGGAAGCCTTCAGGGGCATAGAATCCGAAGGGATTACTAAGGCTAAAGATTTCCTTACTAAAATTGAGAAGCGTTTTGCGAAAAACGATAAGGTAAAAACAAGCACGCTTTTAGCTCGCTTGATTTCAATGAAGTATAAGGGAAAAGGAAATATTAGGGAGTACATTATGGAAATGTCTCATATTGCTTCAAAGCTTAAGGAACTGAAACTCGATCTTTGTGATAAGTTATTGGTGTATCTGGTTCTGTTGTCTCTTCATGCACAATTCAATCAGTTTAAGGTCAGTTATAACTGCCAAAAGGAGAAATGGACTCTAAATGAGCTCATTTCATACTGTGTGCAAGAAGAAGACAGGTTGAAGCAAGATAAGACAGAAAGTGCTCATTTGGCCTATGCCTCTAAGGATAAGGGCAAGAAAAGAAAGAATAATAATGAAGCTGCTAAGGGTCCAGTTCAGAAGAAACAACATAAAGATAATCAGGGTTGTTTCTTCTGTAACAAGCTTGGACACGTAAAGAAGGATTGTACCAAATATCACGCCTGACGTGCTAATAAGGGTACGTTCCTTACTTTGGTCTGTTCTGAAGTTAATTTAGCTTTAGTACCTAGAAACACTTTGTGGTTAGACTCTGGTGCTACTGCTCACATAAGTATTTCTATGCAGGGTTGCCTGAGCTACCGAAAGCCAAGTGATGTTGAAAGACACATCTTTGTGGGCGACGGTCAATCGGTAGATGTGGAAGCAATTGAGCATTTTAGGTTGCTATTAGGAACTGGTTCTTATTTGGACTTAAAAAATACTTTTGTAGTACCGTTTTTTAGACGGAATTTAATTTCAGTTTTTGTATTGGACAAATCAGGTTATTCTTGTTCATTTGGAAACAATCAATTCAGTTTATCTTTTAATTCAAATATTATGGGAACTTGTTACTTGAGTACTTATGACAACCTATATTTGCTCGATACAATTGCTTCTTATAATGAATCCTTGCATGTGGAATCACATGGTACTAAGCGTAAATTAAATAAGGAAAATTTGGTAACATTATGACATAAGCGCTTGGGTCATATCTCAAAAGGTAGAGTTGAGCGTCTTGTGTCTAATGGCATCTTGGATTCCCTTGATTTTTCGGACTTCGACGTATGTGTTGAATGTATCAAGGGAAAACAGACCAAAGTTAAGAGATTAGGTGCCAAAAGATCTACAGACGTCTTAGAATTGATACATATGGATATTTGTGGGCCATTCTCTACGGCATCTTAGAATGGTCAACAATATTTTATATCATTCATAGACGATTACTCACGTTATGGGTACCTATATCTCATTCATGAGAAATCTGAGTCTCTGGACATGTTCAAAGCCTATAAAGCTGAAGTTGAGAATTAACTCAACAGAAGAATTAAAACCGTTAGACCTGATCGTGGTGGTGAGTACTACGACAGATATGATGGTTCAGGTGAACAACGTCTAGGACCATTTGCTAGATACCTAGAGGAATACAGTATCATCCTACAGTACACCATAGCGGGTTCACCTAGCATGAATGGTGTAGCTGAAAGACAAAACATGACTCTTAAGGATATGGTAAGAAGTATGATTGCTCATTCTTCTTTACCAGAGTCACTCTGGGGAGAAGCACTAAAGACAGCAGCTTACATTCTGAACAGAATGCTAAGTAAAGCAGTTGCTAAAACACCTTATGAGCTTTGGACTGGTCGAAAGCCCAGTTTAAAGCACTTACATATTTAGGGATGTCCAGCTGAGGTAAGGCCTTATAGGCCAAATGAAAAGAAATTAGACTCCAAAACAGTTAGCAGTTACTTTATTAGGTACTATGAACGTTCTAGGGGCTATAAGTTCTATGATCACACACTAAGGAATATTTTTGCGACGAGAACATTAATATTCTTTGAGGATGTTGAGTTTGGGGGGAGAAATAAGGTTAGAGACATTGAGGTTAGAGACATTGCTTTTGAGGAGGAATTGGCATCAGATCCAATCCATACCGTTACTTTTGATAATATTCAGGTTCTTATACATGTTGTTGCTCAAGAAGTAAATCCGGAACCTCAAGATGACAATGTTGAACAACTCCCTGTTCCAGAAGAACAAACTCAACAACCTCAAGAACCAGTGCCATTAAGGAGATCCACGAGAGAAAGGAGAAATGCTATTCCGGATGATTATATTGTATTTCTCCAAGAACATGAGGAAAGTAGTGGAATGTTAGAAGATGATCCAATCAACTTCTCTCAGGCCATGAAAAGTTCTAACTCTCAACAGTGGATTGATGCCATGAATGAAGAGTACAAGTCTATGCAAGACAATAAGGTTTGGGAACTTGTCCCATTACCAGAAGGTGCAAAACCAATTGGTTGTAAATGGATTTTTAAAACCAAGCGGGATGCAAACGGTAATGTGGAGAGGTATAAGGCACGTCTTGTGGCTAAAGGCTATACTCAAAAGGAAGGCATTGATTATACAGAGACTTTCTCTCCGGTTTCATCGAAAGACTCTTTCAGAATAATCATGGCACTTGTTGCTCATTATGATCTTGAGTTACATCAGATGGATGTTAAGACTGCATTTCTCAATGGAGACATTGATGAGATGATCTATATGGTGCAACCAGAAAACTTTGTGTCGGGAGACCCAAAGAATATGGTCTGCAAATTAAGGAAATCCATCTATGGACTCAAGCAAGCTCCTCGTCAATGG